ACTTGGAGCCGGAGTGGTGGGAGAGGCCCCAGACGGTTTGTTCTCACCCGAGAGCAAACTCTCTCAGGAAGAACTGAATCAGTTTAAAGCCAAAAGGTTCACTTTGGGACAGATTCCACTAAAACCGCCACCTGCAAACATGCTAGTGGTCTGACTCTGTGGAAAAAGCTAATGGTTGTGTATCGATTCAGTCCAAGCAAAGAAGATTTTTCACTAATATTTAGATGCACAGCAAAAAATATGCACAGATTTCCACTTGGGACTCACTATGAATGACATCTTTTGCACCATAAAATGCTGACTTCAGATTTTTAAATGTGGCTGATTTTATTTTTATTTTTTAAATTTTTTTGTAGAACATCCTGTTTGTTATGGCAAATATTTATCTGTGAATGATGAGGAACAGCAATTACAACAAATCATTGACGATCAATTGCACTTCTATATAGGTCACAGCAATCTGCATTAACTGGCGTCAGTCATAAGAGGGCGCCATGATAAAAGCTCGAGTGTTTCTCGCTCTCTGCCTTCGCGTCCCTGGTGACCATCTGGTTTAATACGAGCAGTCGCTTTCAGATTGTGTAATTTTTGCCCAATGTTAAAACAATAAATGACGATCAGTGAGTGCAAAGCGGTTCGCCCACAGCTTTCTGTTCTGCACCACCACAGGGGAGAACACAGATAAGCGACGCGTGAATACAGCCTGAGTTTATTAGACGCCGAGCACCAGCGGGACGACAAGGGGAGTAATACAGAGCACAGCAATAAGCAGTTTTACTACAGAGGCCACCGCGCTGCTGACTGGTGCATATTTTCAGCTGAGGAAGACCTCGTCGTGTTGTCAGCAGAGATGCGAAAGGGAGCCGAGTGAAGCGTCTGCCGTGTCAAAAGGTAGATGAGGCTAAAGCAATTAGAAGCATCTCTGCAAATAGTTGCAGAACATGAAGCGCAAGCAAACAGAGTGCCGTTTTCTCTCCCACCTCTCAGACTGTCAGCGGTCTCCTTCTGCCAGCAGATAATGCATAAATAATTCAACAGATTAGAAAGGGGCTATCTCATGAAAAAGGCACTCTCATTTCACTGGAACTCATTTAATTTGCAGCTCCATCAAATTGCCAGTCTGCCCGCCCGTGTTGAGGGGTGACGTGTGTGTGTGTGTGTGTGTGTGTGTGTGTGTGTGTGTGTGTGTGTGTGTGTGTGTGTGTGTACAAGTGGAGAGCAGATCAGAGCTGTATGTTACAGTGAATAAGTGAATAAGGTCACGGGTGTTTGCATACAAACACTCACACACGCAGCCAGATGTGGTTTATTTTTCCTCCTTTTGTTGCCCCTCCGCAGCAGCCTTCACGTTTATTTGCACACCTGGTAAATGATGTATAAAAAGCATGAAAATAATCTGTCATCTTTTGTTGCAGTGGCATCATCTCACAATAAATGTCTTGTTTAATTTGAGTACGGGTTTGTTTCAGCGGGACAGAGTCCGAAATTAGTTGTTTTGTTAAAATTGTGCCTGGTGCTACTTTACTTCTTTAAACAGAAAAGTAAAAATGGCCCCATTTCTCTCTGCTACACTTCAAAATTTAAAACACAAAAATCCATGCCATTCAAGTGAGCCAGATGCCTTTTGAGTCTTCTTTAGAACAATTTCCTCCATTAACAATGATTCCCCTGACGTTTAAAGCTTTTAAAACAGACATATTTTTTTTTGTCTGCGCTTGTATTAATTTAATTAAAATGATAATTTAGTACTCACCAATCTCAATACATCAGCATATGAGAACATTTTGGAAAAGTGTGATATTCTCAACTTTGTGGGACCTATTTGCTGATGGCTCTTTGTGTTGCAAGGTCAGTGAGGACACGGACGAGGAAGTTTCCTGATCCTCAACCTGACAGACAGCCACACACATTGTGTGTCCGTCATTGTCTGATCTTAGAAATGTTGTTCTGGAAGAATAGCAAAAACAAATGTCGGGTCAACATCAAATCAAACCCTATAGATTAGGAAAGAGATATCGCTCTGTGAAAACAGAGGAGCAAACGCTTACTTCAATATCATACTCCCTACAGCAGATCACAGCCTCTTCCTCTACCTACTGTGTATGTGCTTCATCTCTAAATGTTCGCTGTTACTCATCCAGTGTGACGACTGAACCAGCTGAATGAAGATGAAACCACTGGAGGCCTCCCCCCCTCTGGCATGCAAACCAAATGATTTGGACGCAGAGCTCGCCTTGTCGATGTTCGTTGGAAGCTGATCCCGGTTGAACCTTCTTGCCTTCACAGCACAGAACAAGGGTTACTAATTGGAACAATGAATCCCGTGATGAAATTGATTGGGTTCAGCCGGGGCAGTTTGTCTACGGGAAACAGTTGCATTGATTCCCGGCGCTGTGATTCATGCCGGTTTGAGCGGCCTCCCTCATGGGTGACTGAGCGGCACATAATTCACCTGCAGACGTTGGATTAGAGGAGTCTGTGCAACGCGTGCTAAGGATGTGGTTACTGGATCACCTTTCCTCAACGGATTCTCGTCATCTGGACTATTGTAACACCTATGAGCAACTCTTATGACTCTTTTTGGTCAAATTGTCTTTATTCATTGAGCACAACTTGGGGCACCGCATGGCGATTCCCGTCCTCCTTTCCCTCTCTGTCCTTCATCTTGTCAAGCTACTATTAAATAAAAGACCCTAGAACACCTTTTAAAAGATATACAAAGCATAATCTGTGATTATAGAGAAAAGCAAACAGTGGTTTTTCATGTCTTTTTCTGTCAATCAACTTTTGAGGAAAAATACCTGGCTCTCGTGCTCCATCCCTCCCAGGTACGGCGCAGTTTCTTGGGCTGGTTCAGGCAAAGTGTCTGTATGCTCGGCTGTGTCCCGGCACCAGTTGGTGTTCTCTGAGCCAGCTCTGGCCCATCAATTGTTGTCAAAATTTGTCAATGTTTTGAATATGTGGATCTGGGCCAGTTTGGACTGAGAGCTGGCACCTTCAGCTGCTTAAGGACTAACAGTGGACCAAAACGTGTTTGTTGACCTAAATTTTGGGGGGGCCATACGTTTCCAGGGCGCCTGACTCCGTGTTTGGGTTGGCTTTGACGCCGTCTTCTTCTCATGGTGTCAAGAGCTGCCGCTTTCTTCTTCTCACCTGACTCTGCTCGTCTTCAGCCATTTTGAATTCTGTGAGATGTCCTGCACATGTACACAGATCCACTGATTTTCACATACATTTTCACTTTGCCGTTACAAACCATAATGTATTTGACTTGGATTTTGCTAGAGACCAACAGCACTGTGAAAGTGAGAATCAGAAGGAAAAGTACGCATGCAGCCCGAGTTATGATGCACTTATACAAAATCCAGTTCCACTAACGTACAGTTTGTCAACATGTGACAACATGTGTAACAGTTTTCACAAGTGAAATTAAAGTAGATTTTTATCCATTTCTTAAACTGTGAAAATACAAAATTTTGCCAATTTTTTTTGTATAGATTCTAGTGTAAATATCAGTACAATTGAAATAAAAATAAAACTAGCATACAAATAAGTTTTCAGTAAGATATTTTAAGTAAATAATTCCTTAATATTGATTTAAAATGTAAGAAAAAAATACTTTGTTGAACTGGTAGATTTTTTTCACTTATACCAAAATATTTTCCCATAATATAAGTGAAAAAAAAATGCCAGTGGAACTGTTTCTTAACCATGTGTCTGGATGCTCAGTTGTTACAGACATGGCCTATAAAGACTTGATCAAAAAAAGAAATAGGATGTTTAAAATTCTGGGGCTGGAAGGTGACAAAAATGTGCAAAGGCTCAGTATGCGTCAATGTTTCTGCAAAGCTCTCCACATCCGCTTCGACTCCCTTGGAACAGTCCGCAAGGTTTCTTGTTCCAAGGTTTATTCAGAAGGGATGTTCAGTCATTAAATCAATGCGTTTTGGATTATTTTCTCTTCAAGTTAGAGATCATGGAGTACCTCTCTTCCTCTCAGTGCATGCCAGCCAGTCTTGATCTGTGCAGCTTTGTCCAAATCTGCTTTTTTTCATATGACCTGTAAAAATGCTGTGCAAAAGAAATACAAACATGGTGCTGAGAAGAAGGCGGACTTCAAAAAAATAAGTTTTTAAGCATCTCTTAATGGATTTGCCAACATTCCTGATGTGAAATACCTTGTATACACGCCTCTAGTGATATTTGCATTTAGTCACGTAAAGATTTAATTTGAACAAAATCACAACGGCACAAGTAGTGGCACAAACAGCAATTATTTGAAGAGGAACTTCAATGAATTTTCCACACCTTTCAAATATATACATAAACATTTTTTGGATCAAGTTTTCTGATTAGTGTGGCTTGCTGGTATTATGTTTCATGAGAAGGTTTATGTTTTGAATTGCTAATGATATTCAAAAACTTGCAGAATTTTTTTTTTTTTTTGCTTTAATCAGATAAGTCCAAAACATTTTTTTGTTTTTAGCAACTTGTAAGATACTATGTGTTGAAACTTGATGGTGGCGGAGTCATGCTGAGGGAATGTTTTCCTTCAGTCATTAAATCAATAATTTCACAAACTGTATTAACTCCTCGCTTTTGAAATCGGTTGTCCCGTCGCATAATAAAATGACAAGAAAAGATTTGTCCATGTCCTGTTTTTAATCTGTTAAAATAAAATGCATACACAAATGAAATTCAAAAACTGTGACAATGATACAATAAAACAGGACAAAACTTCCTGGTGTAGCTATAATAATGTAAAATGGTCACATCTTGACTGTATTGACTGCACCGGTAAATGCAGCAACGATGCATTTTAACATGCTGCTGAACCAACGTTGTGTTGTGACCATGTTTACATCAGTATTTAAAGCTGAAAAGGTGTAGCTCCATGTCAAGAGACATGGTGGTGTAGTTTAAAGTGAATTGAGCAAACGTGTTATTTTTTATTTTTCCTTTTTCAAAAAAAACAAAACAAACAAAAAATCCTTATTTAGTTATTTGCAGTTCCCAAAGACGGCCCCATGTGGTCGCTGTTTGTCCAAAACACTTCCAGGCAGCTTCACTGCAACGCATCCCTCTCCCTCCCCCTTCCTGTCCGCTCTGCTCTCCTCCCAGCTCCGCTCCGCTCAGCTCAGCAGTGCGTCCCTCACCTCCTCGGATTCCGTGTGACCAGCAGCCCTGAGCGGACAGCAGCCGCCCCGTCCCGCAAACCAGCACAGCCACCATAAAACCCGAACGATGACATTCTTACAGCAGCGACAGGGGCTGACATTTATTTGACAACTTCCTTTCCCACACCTTGCCTCCGCCGATCCTTTGCTGTTAAGTGGTGAGTCCCTTTTAAAATCTGCAGAATCTTTTTTTTTTTTTTTTTTTTTTTTTCTTGAAGTGACATTCTGCTATACAATCATTTGGGTTTGCTTTCATTAAACGTACTGTCTTGTCATCTTCCTTCTACTGTTGCATGCACCTTTTGTCATTCGGCCACGCAAACTGCTTGAAGGGGTTATTATAGTCACACAGTCATACCAGACGGAGATGATTGGATTATGCACATTATTAAAGCTGCAGCAGAGATAGCGGTGGTGTTTTATTTACTTTCAACAGAATGCTGCCCTGATGCATGTGGAGCTGCTGATTTGATAAGCAGGGGTCTTGCTTAAGGTCAGTCATGCCCCCTCTGGTTCTCAGGAGATGCCCTGCATATGGGGTGTGGGGGTGGGGGTGGGGGGTCAGAGGGAGAGGTCAAAGTCATAAATCCACCTCAGGAAGGATAAATCACTCAAGCATCGCCGCTTCTTGTTGTTTAATGCATGTGACTCTCGGTGTGACAGGTGGGTGGGGGAGGGCGAGAGCCAGCACATTTTAAAGATGCTTCTGCAAGCATTCAGCCCCGGGCCAAGAGCATGCACGCTGAGGTGTGAGGTAGTATCAGATGGTGGCATACACACACACACCTACACACCCCCACACACACCCACACACACACACACGGCGGACTGGCTCGTAAAACGTACTTCATTCCCCGGGAGCACAAAACAGACCCCTTACGAATGAAAATCTGAAAAGTGCGCCCTGCGTGTTATTGTATGCTTGTCGGAATCTCCTGTCTCATTGTTACAATAACGCAGGTCGCAGCGCTGGCGCTCTTTTCGGAAAACAGCCTTTGAAGGACAATTTCCAGTTCGGACTTGTGTCTGGTGCAGGTTTCTCTTGAGGTTGGCCAGAACATTCGTCACATCAACTTTATAAAAGCTTCCCTGGCCCTTCTGTAGAAAAGCGTCTCATCTGGCAAGTTTTGCAGTGCAGATGGTGTTTTCTGGATGACCCACTGTGTTCATTTGTGATCACACGTATGGAGTTTTTGCCTCTTGGCCATAAATTCTAGCTTTTGTCTTATCTGATTAATTCTTCCATATTTATTATTTATATCATCCTTATAATCTGTGTTATTCATTTTAATAATGGTCACCAAAGACAACTTGAAATAATGAGTTTGAATTGGAGTTGCGGTTCTGAAACTAAAGTGATGCCACCAGAGTTTATAACCCAATCTTTAAAGAATCTGTATTCCATCTTAAATATTTAACTCCTTATTTGGCTGGTAAAAGCGTTTTAGGTGTTGAAACGGATCTGAACTAACTAGACATGGACTTTATTATCATTCAGCTGCATTTTAAAATGTACGTTTCAAGCAAAATTTTGTTGCAGGCCTCCAATGATAAAAACAAACAAATAAATGCAAATTGATAATAAGCAGCAACAAAATAAGTATATCTGAGACAGACTGGCAACCTGTCCAGGGTGAGACCCGCCTCTCGACCAAGACGTTCACTGGAATCTTAAGGCAGGAGAGCATTGAAATCATTGCTCTAAAAATTTGAACCCAATTTCACCATTTTGGATTTTCGTTATTTTTGTAACCTACAGACAATAAGACCTGAATACTGTTGAAAGAAGTTCAAAGTTAATTGCACTAATGTGGCTGTTTCGGTTAGTAATTAGGTGATTTATGAGGACTACTGTTGGATGGGACTTTCTTTCATTTGTGTCTGAGCAAAGTTGGGAGGCAAAATGGAAATTTTTACATTTTCATTTCTAAAAACCTTTCCAAAAATGTGTATGACATAGAGATACCTTCTCAAGACACTCATGAACGTCAGCGCTAAGGTTGTAGTGATCTGGGTAAGAATCAAGAGATTGGAAATAAATACCAGGCCTCTTAGACACTGATGCCATGCGTGATTGTTTCTCTCCGAAGCGTGTAAAGCAAGCAAATGGTAAGTGCTTCGACTGTCATGAAAAGAGCGTCGCACGTTTAAAGTGGAATATGAATAATTACTCGTGACTCACTCTTGATCTGCTGAGTAATCCAGTGAGACACAATAGAGGCTTACTTTTCTACCTCATAGTGCAGGCGCCGAGCTGAAACAGGCCGCAACATTTCACACGCATTCCTGCGCATTTGGTCTGAACATTTTAAGTGGAGTTTAGATTCACCGGAGTGAACTGTTTGTTAGGCGTCGCGTGCGTTTTGAGGCCGAGTTGCGGTTGGGGGACGGAGCTCGATGCGTCGCATCCTATCAGATAATGTGGCTTCTCAAAAGGCCAGGCCGTGCACTCTCTCATCCGCCATCAAAACATGCATGCAGCAGGCAAACTCTTCAAAAAAAAAAAAAAAACAAAGAAAAGAAAAAGCAGTTGGAAAGGTTAGCACACTCTCATTCAGTCATATTACTCTTAAATGCAGTGGCACATCTGACCGCTCTTCACATCCGTTTCTGGTCCTCGTGCTCTTTGAAATGAAAATCAAATGAAAACAAATCGAGGGGCTGAGCGGACACTTATCATAATAACAGAGCCTCTGCTCGTGTACCTGCTTGCATCTCAATGCGCGTGTTGTTGCACAGCGTGCTGCTGCGTGCACCGTTGGACCATCTGTAAGGCATAATTTGCTGGCTCAGGGGACGTGTGTCATCGCAGAGTGCGGCCGTGATTGGTGGTCGGTTGGTGCTGCTTCGAACTGGATGGGGGTTTTTTAATGACTCGCCGTGAGATTGCTTCTCCTGCTCAGACTAAAACCGTTTTAACATAAATGAGGGGGACTGTGAAATCTGTTAGAGAATATGGCAATGATCGCAGTTTTAAACATAGGCGGTAGTCGTCTCACAATCTACCATCCAGCACCCTGAATACTTTTAGGAAACATGGCCTGCAGCAGCCTCAATAAGATTAAAAATAAAAAAAATGAAACAACTGTTTATTACCATCTGTAGCAATTCCTATAAAATAAATTAAACTGATTTTTTAAAATGTGTATGAAGGAGCGTTGCTAAAATATCCATCTCCTTGTTTATTCAACAGAGAATGTGGGTCCTTACTGTATATCGCCGAGAGGCAGCCATTTTCAAATCGGTTCGTCTTTGTGAGAACTGGGTTTGAAATCTTAAAGAAAAAAGAGACGTCAATAAAATAAAGTGAAATAACATTTGTTTCCCCCTTTTTAGCCTTCCTATTAACTGCTCAAAGTCTCGCTCTCGATCCTTTGAGTTTTCTTCACACAATAACAACGTCCACATTGAAGAGTGTTCCGGTACCTGTTAGTTTCCAGTCACTTCTCAGGCAAAGATTGACTTCTAATTTAATATTACCGATTTGTCCCTGTCAAATAAAGACCCTTTCTCTCTCTCTTTTTTTATACCTTAACACAAATTGTCTGTTTAAAAATAAAATCTTTATGCAATAAGCCCTGAGAGGACAATCTGACACTAAATGTCAAATTGAATTATATAATTCTGCATCTTTCATGTTTCCTATTGTCTTGCTGTCATTGAATATTATAGGACTGATGTACATTTCATCATAATCTGACCATCTAGACATACAGTAATGACAAACCATGTTCCTGTGAACACACTCCTCGACTTGTTATCAATTTCCCCTCAGCTGTGATGAGACCAGTGCTGCCAGGGCTTTGGCTACTTTGAGATGATTGCACGCCAGATTTCCTGTTATTGTGGCATGTGCAAAGATAATTACTTCTCGGGGACATTTACAATGAATAATTTGGGGAAAAATCATTTAGAAAGAAAAACATTAACAAGAGACTGAGTGGAGTGCAACGCCTAAGATGAGACATATAGTAGCCTCCAAAAGATGAAGATGAAAGTGAGCGGCAGCGAAGCCGAATAAATAGATCGGAGTGTTGCCTGATTGGCTTGGGAGATCCATTTATCCTCCGCATATTTTCCATAGATAAAACCAAACATTTCAGCTTTAAATACATAAGGATACACTGGTGCTGAACACAGAACCAAAAGATTTCTCAAGCAGCAAGTTTCCACAAGAAAAGTTTACTTTGCATTAAATGTCAGAGAAAAAAAAGCATCTGTTTGCCTTTTGATGCAGTTAAAAATAGATTGTTTCAAATTGAAAATAATTATTAAGCATAGCAAGTCCATATGTAGAGTATAATTTGTTTATTCTTTTTAAATCAAAGCAATATGGTCATGTTAGTCATATTTGTTGAAATGTTTCACATGTTTCTGTGAAGCTTTGGTATTTTCACCAAGGTTATAATATCATGAGAATTTCATACTGGCCCACGCCTCACCAGTTATGGAGCCGGGCCCCTTTTGAGCCTAATTGGCCAAGACTGCTGACCGACTGTTTCCATTTTGGTTATATCTGATTCCCTGCTGGTCAAATTTACATGCTTTGGTTCCCCGGGTGATTGGTGTCGTGCGTACAGTGACACGGGAGGTAAGAATGGGCCAGGAGGATACAAGTTTCATAATTTGTTCTGTCTTCTCGATCATTAACGAAGCATCGGGTGGATTTGTTTCAAGCAAATCAACAATTCAAAGACGACATATTGCCAACCAGGATTCCTCCTCATCATTCATTTGCTTTTCTAGACTTGCGTTTCCAAACTTCTCTCTCCTTTTATCCCATTTTCTAAAGAAATACAAAATTCACAATGGATCCTGCAAAAAAACAAAAACAAAAAACAAAAAAAAAAAAAAAAAAAGAAAGGGAGGAAAAATGGGGGGAAAGAAACAAAGGAAAAAGTGCACAATACAGAAACAACCGAATGGAATTAAGAAGGAAAAAGACTAGAGGGACGTCAGGAGGAAGCGGAGAAGAAAGTAGTGAAGGAACCAAGAATGAAGCTAAGAAAACAATCAGAAGTGTTTTTTTTTCTATTCTCCAGGATTACTGAGCAGCATAATCCTGGTTAAAATATAAACTAGTTTTTGTGTAAAGCAGGACTCTCTTTGCACCAGACTCTGTCGTCACCCACGCATCAACGCGTACTGCCTGGCGGAC